AATGATGTTAAATTTTTTGGTTTCAGTCCTTTCATGAGATGAGCTGCAATTCTAGAGAAGTGCTGGTTAGAGAGATTTGCAACTTTTTCGGATTACTTTCTTCTCTTTCATTATAGTTTAAAACAACATTCTCTACTAAGTATCGAGACGATGTGGTCGTAATTTTTACGATTTTGCATATTAGTTTTATTACTAGTGTTCAAAATAGCCCGATTATTTTGTCACAATTTTTCCTGAACTAGTACTTAAAATTCTTTTGTATTCTCGGAAGTAGACATGGAAGCCTGGTGATATGTTAGGATGATTAGAAATAATCTAAACCATACTTTTGTTTTTACACAATGTTGTAATTCCAGTAGCGATCTGTATTAATTTTCTGTGAAATGTGTAATTTTCTCTTTTTAAGAGGAATGCATACGTTAAAGTGAACAAAAGCTTGGAGAAATATAGATTATATTTTTCATTTGTGTCAACTGTGACATAAACAGTGTCCCATCATTCTTTCAGCAAGTAGTCTGTAAATCATTTTATGATAACTTTAGTGAATGCTCTGCACATGTGTGTATTATTTACTGTGTCATAGTTCATGCTATTAGTAATTGTAAGGATTTATGCATTGTGGTCACTGTAACCTACATTAGTTCTTATTTCATATCTAGTACTGATTTTGTTAATTATAATATTATTTATTGCATTTCGTGATTTAAATGTATTCCATGTAGTTATTCACTGTAATATCTAAATTAAAAGAATGAAGTAAATTGAGAGACTGCTCGTTTTGGTGGGATTCACTAAGAAAATCAATAGTGAATCTCCACATATAACAATGGCTTTAAGAGATAGATTTCTAATTTTGTTCAGAGCTATCTCTAGAGTTTCTAAGAAAATTAAATTATCTGAAGCTTGCTTTGTTGGAGGTCTGTAAATGCAACGTAAGATAGTATTGGGTGTATTAGATGTACGACTTCTTTCAAAAACTTTTTCAACCGCTTATAAATGGAATTTCTTTTTCATTTCTGTTGATTTATTTTAACTACTAACTATAATTACAAACTTTAAAGAATATTTAAGAAACTGTTCATTATTATTATTATTATTATTTCAAAATATTTACTTGTTGTGGAACGATCCAAAGCATCTGTAATGAAGTGGTAAATCACAGCAACTGCAGAGCCTTTTTGTTTTCAGTCCGCAGGATGTGCAATGCGTTTGGGTTTATACAGGTGTTTCAAAATGATATTCTGAATCAAATCTATTATCACTAATCACTCTGCCATTTTTTAATCTGGATTTCTGAGGGCCTGTTCTTTTTTGGTTTCAGGCTGTTTCTGACAGGTATTTCAGTACAATTTTTCTCCTTACATCCAATAAACTGGGAGGTTAATTTTCATTCACTATCGTACACAATCTCCAAGTATTTACAACAGCAATTTGAAGAAATTAAAAAAAAAGAACTCACTCTCACTCTAAACAGAGATATTTGTTTATCTAGGAGTTCCACACCGCCCATATACTCATTACATGATTTTACGATGTTTGGCATGGGTACCTGAACATTCTCTTTTTCATTTTGTAAGAAACATTTTGCAAAACAAACAGGTTCGATGGTGCCGTAGTTAGTACCAATTGTAACTACCTTGTTATCCTTCCATTTTACAATCAGTACACACTTGTTCTTATCAAAAGGATATCCAATGTAGCCTCTCTCCTTTTCAGCTTATTTGGAGGAGTCATTATAAGTCACTTTCCTGTGAGATTATTGCGAATACTTCCCGTTGCATTCAACTTTTGATTTCTTAGGAAAGCAAAAGTGTAATGGCTGAAGAAAAAGTCAAAAAATAATAAATCACGCTCTGACGTCAATAATCGCCGTGAGGTTTGCAATTACCCTCTGCCCCAACGATTTTATTTCAGTAGGTTCTTTTCACATGTAAGGAGAAAAATTAAAAAGGTACCCATCTGAGCTGCACATGCATCAGATTTTATATTCAAATTTGATGGGTTTTCCTCCCGTGTACATTTTTGAACAGATGACGACAATAGCACTGAACCATCATCTCATCTATTGATAATTCGGTACTAAAAACGCCAAATTTTAGAACGTTTTTTGAAGCTTCTCAAAATAAGTACGGAGTTTGTAAAACCTATCACTTTGTGAATACAAGTGGTGTTATTCAAATGAAGGAACATTTTTATATCACGAAATCTCTGTCTAGACAGAGAAGAGTATACAAGTGGTACACCTACATCAGGACATAGTTCCCAATACCTATCTTCCCGTAATGTGTAGTACGCACCCAATAAATGAATACCAAGAATACACTTTATTTCCTTTTCGTCTATGGTGAATTTGACATTTTTTGTGATATAACATGGACTGTTATATCTTGCATTTAACATATACTAAGCATATGTATGTGTTATGTATTTGACACCATGCTTAGAACTCATTCAGTTGGCAACTCCTTGAAGGAAAGATTATACATTTCAAACTTCTCGCGTCCGAGAAGATTGAAATGTATAACCCGCGTATATCCCAAAACCCGCGAATTCTTTCACAAGTAGCAAAGATTTCGTTTATATGAAACTCTTCCAAATAAACCTAAAAAGTGCATCAAAAAGTGACCGATAGATCGCACCACCTCCTGGCCGCCGGCGAAAACGCTTCGCACATAGTAGAAATTCCCCAACTTCCAATTTTATTCCACATAAAACGCGACAAGATCGCATTGTTTGAGATTTTTTTATTAGTTGCGTTCTCATTGATGCAAAGCGACTCCAAGCCCTTTGGGGACGTTAAGCGCTTTACGCTTTCGGAGTAATCCTCCCTTAATTAATATGTCATATCCGTCACGTCCCGTCGCAGTCAATTGTCGAAAGGACCGGTCAATTGTCGAGAGACTATTTCTTGGGTTGCTGATAATTCGTTTTTTGGTGGGTGGATTTGATATCCTATTTTATCTCGAATTTTTTTCCAATCGGCGTTGATGTTACATTTTTTGTAGAGGGAGTATGGAAACGCTGCTAGTTGTTAATATTGGGAGGTGGACCAAAAGAAGTTCGTTGAGCGGTCTTGGTACAGATGGCTGAATGGATTTTGAATGAATGAAATAATCTTAAACATCTTTTGGTGTATGATGTATAGGTATGTTGATTCACTTGGAGGTTGAATTACGGGAGATGTATTAGCACTTCATGACTATCTAGAACAACATTAAAGTCTGCTCGCGACTCGCGTAAGCCTCGGGGCGATGCGTCCGTCACGGAATCCGGAAGCAGAATGCAACTCAGGCTTGTTGCATATTCCGTAATAACGTATGACCCTCTCCTGCAGAAAATTAACCGCATATATGTCACTTAACTGATATAAGTGTAAAACAGTTGGAAAAATTACATTTTGTATTGCGTACATATACGTAACTTGCGGCAGACCGTTTACTCACTGTTAGACTCTGTGAGGAACATTCTTCCCGTAGCCTTACCAATTAAACTATCCCAAAATCGTTATAGAATCTCCTTCGCTGGCGATTTATAGAAAGTATAATTGAGAATTAGAACACTAAGCACTTACCGACTTTAAGAGAAAATTAGTAGAAAACAAACTGACTTTCCGAACCCACTATTTAATTACACCTGAAACACTGGCGCATGCATGGAAGGGGTTGAAAAGGTGAAAACCCGCAGGGCCAAAAGAGAGCGGTTGCACTCCCAAGGCAGCCGGTCCTGCACTGGTAAAGCCTCTAAACCCAGCTCATCCGGTTGCCCCTCACTGACCCCAAAGAGCAGTGAAACAGTTCTATCCTGTGCCGTCCCTCAGAATTTGTGGATCAAAAAAATAACTCATTGGACGTGAATAACAACAACAACAACAACAATAATAATAATAATAATAATGTCAAGACGTTGGCACTAGGCACCTACGGTGGCGCAGTATCTCACGTTCCAAGGGCGCTATGCATGGTGATTTAAAACCTAAATGCAATTTCCCGGCGTTGTATTTTCAAAAATATTTCTGCTCACACCCCCACTCGCCGTGCTGGACACTAGGATCGACGGATGGAATGGATTGAGCGAATTAAATTTTACCAGCAGGCACTCAAAATTCCTATATGCAAATCATGGAGTACTATGAAGCAGAGGGGGGACGGGGACGGGGAAGATTGCCTTCCTCGTCCGATTGCTTTGAGCTTTGTTGAATTGTCATAATTTTACGACAATGTGTCAATGCATGTGAATAAAAATGTTATAATTATTTTAAAATATTTGAATTCTGGACTAAATGTGTGAACATGTATGAGAACATATTGAAATAAAGAATAAAACGAACAAGTTCCCCATTCCACACTACGTAATAATTCTCGAACGTTTCTCGCAACGGTAAATTCAATAACACAGTTTATGAATATGAAACACTAAATTCCATCAACCACACTGACAGGTGTATAATCATAACAAATTTCTTACAAAGAGTAGTAAGACATTCAGCTTAACTTGTAAGATATCTCTTCGTTATACCTGTATTTTAAAATCACGCACATACAAAACAAAGCATCAGTGTAATACACACGAGATTGTTTCGTTAATTTGCTAATGGCAAAGTTATATTACAGAACTTTAAGTTAAATAATAAATTCCTTTTTCTCAAGATATTACTCCAGACTTATATACAAGTATCAATACCATGAGTGAAGTTTTCATTTTATGACTAATGGCATACATTTTATTTTGTGGCTTGAATTGTTGACGTTTTATATAAGTACAGAATGAAGCCGCGAATTCACGTTTTGAACTTTTTTCTAGAGGTACAAGAGTTACGAGAGAATGCTGTGTTAATCCAAGGTTGACCAAGAGTGTTTTCCTGTGCGGACTTACACGATGACGCGTTATAATGATCTGGCCACAAATCTACATAGTATTTTATATTTTTGACTCAATAGCATAAACAATGTTTTTCTAGGAGAATGAGAGTGGGACACCAACATTCCCTAAAAAGGCCTTACCTGTAAATACACTTTTAATCTGTCTAGGGGGGCAGTACAAGTTCGAGACACAGCTCCCGCGACACCACCAGCTACTAAATGTCTCCACCACATTCCAGTCGTCATTTCCTTCTGGGTGAAGTCATCAGGTACATTCATATCCTCCCCAATATCCAAGTACTGCAAAAGAAAGACATCTTTTCAGTTGTAGTTTTGAGAACTAATGGTAAGAGAACGTACTTCCTCGCATAATTTGTTATGTTTACATGTTACACATTGTTATACACTCATCATCACAGTAGGTTAGTTAACGCTGGAATTCGAACTCGTGAACTTAAGTTTAGCAAGCTATAAGCAACAGCGGTGCGAGAACGAGGACATAGCGCCACATTTCTGTCCCTTCCGGTAACTCCCAATACACCGTCTAATTAATCCTCTTCAAATGTTTTCTCTCGTCGTCGCACTAGGCGCATCGACGTCAGTTTTCAGTTATTCCACGGTGCTACTACGCGTGGCCATTTAATTTTGTTTGTACGAAATTATTTTTTTTATTGAACCATTATTTAATGTAAGTTAAAATTTGAAATTATTGTTGAGAATATAAATCATTTAAATTGAATTGTAAAATTACTAAATTTGAGTTTTAAAAATCTTTTAACGCTTCATTGATATTGTTAATTTGTTTACTTTATTACTAAATTAATATGTAAATAATTTCATACTATTCAAGGTATTGTTAGATTTGCAATTACCTCTGCACAAAATCATTATCTTGTACTATGTTGTAATAATAAAATTTATCAGTACACGTACGTCACTCAATATTTAAACAAACATTTTTAGAGAAGGAAACGCTTAATGCTTGCAACCGAACCTTCTGTTTTAGTTGGCAACATTGCAGAGTTTTATACAACTGTTCGATTAATATTCACATACACATAACAGCTGAAGTATTACGTAGGATGCTGCGTCCACTGGAAGAAAGTATTTTTAAAGTACAGAGTTCTGAGATACGATTTTTTTACTTTAGTGAAGTGTACAGAATTATTATAATAGATACCAAACAATAAGGCAATAATTGCATCAACCGTGCGAGTTTTTACACGTAGGCGGACAAGTATAAAAGTGGCCGAAAAGCATCGCTGACGAGCATCGCTCATGGCGCCCGCAAGTTGTCGACTACGGAATTCAAATCTCGTACCGTTTCTAATGCTTAAATTGCACGGTTGCACAAACCCCAGATAATAGAAAAATATCTGTTAGGGATAAACATTTTTTCCTTAAACGACATTCAATTTACAAGATATTCGATGTATACGAAATCATTTTGAATCCAAAGAGCGCCCAACTCGCGCTCTCTCCGGCGTCTCGTGCTCTCCCAGGCACCATGTAACGCACTTGGCTCCATTACTGCGTTCATTGCATTTACTCGGTGGACCTATGCTTCAACATAGAGCCTTCGCTGCGGCAATACGTGGGTGGGGGGATGATCGCTGAGCGCGCCTTGGCGGCAGAGGGGATACCAATTTTCGTCTTCGTCTGGCACCAGCTGCCACTGTATTTTACGAAATTTGCATGTTATTGAGCGTACACAAGTTCAGTAAATTCTTGACCTTATTGCACACATTACAGTGGCGGAACTAGCAGTGGTTCAGCCGGTGCAATGCGCACAGGCCTCCGGTTCTAAAGGGCCCCCCACACAAACTAAAAATGTTCTTTGTTCCAACTTTTTTATGAAATAGATTTCAATTTATAGTTGATTGAAATAAAAAAAATGACGAGAAAAGTGTTGTTTCACTATTTTCCCGTAATTATTTTCTTTGTCCATTTTTATTAAAAAAGTAAATAAACATTGCAGACAAGGAATAAGTAAAAGAATGGTACATTATTGCCGAGAGTGTCACTGCGTCAGAGGATTTAACGAAGTTTTTATGTACCAAGGGAGCGTTCCGAAAGTTGAACAAGAAGGAAATGGTACATTATTTCTCTCGTCAGAGGTGAAAAGAGTAAAAAAAATCAAAATTTATTTTGATGAAATATGTCAAGACGAAATACTTGTGAATGCAGAAAGGATTTTCAGTTTTTTTTGGTTGTTTAGACATAATATTGAATCAACTTTAGAACAGATTTATTAGTTTGAATGATATGGCATGCACGTTGAAAGTAATTCAACCGCGAGAATTTATGAAACAATTAGATGAAGTAATAATTATGGCAATTAATTACAATTGTTTAAAAAAAACTGTTTTCTGTAAAAAGTACAAGAACTGTTTCTGGAAGATACTTTGCTTCTTAATCGAGATCTAATATCAGAATTTCTGCATCGGCCTCCGTTTTCACGTGATCGTTTCTGTAACTGCGTATGTCTCCCTATGTATTATATGTATCTGGCAAAATGACACGCTCTAATAACAACATATTCAAACGATTAACATATTAACAACAGATTAAAAACTACAACGTAAGTGTTAAGAAAAGTGATGAAACACCTAAAATATCTTCTCCCCAATTTCTTACGATACTTTGGCACGGGAACATGTCTCCGAAATGTCCGGCAGAGGTTGGACAACAGTGAGTCACTGCAAGTTTCCTGGTAACGCTTTTCCATTTAAGGAATGTCCTGGCGGAACCGTTCACCAAGTTCGTCCCTAACGGTGTCGAGGTTATAAAGGAAGGAGTCCAAATTATCATTCAAAAACTGTAGTTTAAGTGACATATTACAACCCATACAGTCGAAGCTTTAAGATTTAAAAAAATTAAAAAAAAAAAAAAAAAAACTTTAAAATTTGAGGGTACTTCACGTTAATCTCGTGGTAAATTTTCAAAATTTTCTCAAAAACGACTCCATTTTTTTTTACATTTCTTGTCAGAATAGATTAAGATACACTTACAGCTTTCCAGCATATACACTTTCCAGCGATTTGTAAACACTATTGCATTTGTGACAAAGTGCTTGAAAAGACTATGTGAAGTTTTTCGTTAACACTATAGTTTTCTGAGAAAATAGCTTCAAATTTCGCATTCAGTAACGCTTAAACACAATTTTTTTTTAAAACGACTGTTAAGTTTTGGAAAGTTTCATACAGGCCGAGGTTTTACTCTTCTTTAATTTTCTCAAAGTACTAATTAGATTATACTATTAGGAAACAGAAAAATTAGAAATTTTTTTGTACTTTGTATAAAGTACTTTGGGCGGCGAAAGATGGCAGCTGGCAAGTCCGGATACCAAAGGAAATAGAAAAATAATACGGGAAAGTCTGTGCCGTACTGTAGCACCACTAGTTACTGTCCCGTAGACGTACGTATATACGGAATAATGTACGTAATATAAAGTTACGTAATGCTGAGCGAGAAACGCCGGATGTTTGGCAGAAAAAAAATTAATTGGTGGGCCCTGATAACGAAAAAAATTCAATTGCTAAATTAAGAGAAAAAACACTCTAACATGTGGTGTATCCAGAATCCCTGTTTTGTGGGTCCTTGATACAGAAAAATTGATTGATGGCAAAACGTTCGTCCGTTTGTCTGGTATGTGTGAACAACATTAGGGCCTAAACTAGGCGTACGATTTTTTCCAAACTGAATAATCCTCTGTCCATTTGGCCTGAGTCGAAGCTCTGCGATTATGAAAAACATTCATTAATTTTTGGGGGGTACTTTATATGAAGCTCCTAGGACATTACCTAAATTTTCTCAAAAATGGCCCCAAATGTTTTGTTTAAATTGTTTGTAAAAATAAAGTAAACTACATTTATAATGTTGACATAGGTCCAATTTTCACTGTTAACTCTGAATTTTCGAAAATTTCAAAAGTATAACATTTTTTCGGCGGCGTTTTCCTACAACTACAAAATTGAATTAGTTCTCTTATTAAGATCATGTATATTTTTTAAACTTTAAGTAGTTTTTGCGGAATATCGCGTGCAATATTTGCAATTCAAAAAAATTACAATTACAAGATTTTCTCTAAAACGGCTCCAATTATTGTCTTTAAACTTTTGGTAGAGAGTGCTAAATGCACTCAAAATTACACAATATACCCAAGATAACGTATGTTACTTTATTCTTTTGTTTTTCCAGAAAAAATTGCACTATTTAAGATGACATAGAATTAATTTTGTTGTATTCTTTTTTTTGCACACTTGCAGCGATTCGTATACATTGTGGCACTCTAGAGTGGAAGTGCTTGAAATTAAGTTTATCGAAACTTTAAAAAATTCTGTGAAAAAGAGCTTGAAATTTCGCGTTTATGGTAAAGCTTAAACGTAATTTTGTTAGAATTTCAAATTTTTCAATGAAAATTTCCATTTAGGACGAGGTTTTAGACCTCTCTAATATTCTTGAAGTAATATCCCAGGTCTATTATTCGGAAACCGAAAAATTGAGAAAAAAAAAAGAAAAAGAAAATAAAAAATAAAAGAAAAGTACTTTGGGGACGATAGATGGCAGTCAGCAAGAGTATGTAAAATGTAAGAATAGCTAGCCCATACCAATAAAAATAGAAATCTAATACGAGAAAGTCTGTGCCATTCTGTACCACCACTAGTTCATATTTGACAAGTGTGAGGAGCAGTTTAAAGTTATCATAGGTGTCCTTCAGGTTAACTGCATGTACAATGGGAACAGAAGGAAATTTGTTCCCACTGCGAAAAAGTACTGCTTTCAGATATTTTGCTGTAATCTATAAACAAGCCCCATTCAGTTACATTGAAATCATGGCCAAGAGTCTCCAAAACGGACTCGATATCACTACAAAAAACCACGTATGTCACTTTTCTTCGATGAAATATTTTGAAAAACTACTTTTCGATCACGAAAAAACACTTTCGTAAACGAGAAAAAAGACTCCCTTTTAGTTGCAAAGATAAAAGCTCAGACTATTGTTTCCACAAATTTAAATCACGAATAAAGTCGTTGAGATCCCCTTGAGACAAGAAATGTGGTTCATTTGTAACAGGCATGAAATGTTGGGTCTGTATGGAAATCTTCAGTCTTCTAAATTTTCGTCACTGTAGAATTCATTTTAACTCACTGTAATATTCTCAGGCGTTAGTGGTACCGGCAATTCTTCATTATGATATACAGATCTTCTAACAGAAAGTAAATTAGGATATTGCACAGTTCTCTTCGTTTATTAGGGGATTTCCGTTATTTTTGTCAGAAATAAGTTTGTTGTGTAATCCGCTGGTTCCCTCCAAAACATGGGGACCTCATAGGGGATGTGTCGTGAACCTTTTAACCAACGTGTCAGGCATATACCACACGACACACAGCATATATGGAGGCCCATTTCTTGTCCTGATCGCCTATCTTACATGCGAAATAAAGTTCGCAACACTTCCTTATCAGAAGATTAAGGTTCAGTTTTTGCGATTTCAGGGTTAATTCTCCACAGGGGCTATCAACACAGTTACGAGTTACATTTCTTCTTCTGAATTAATACGAAGGACAAACATTCACAATCTACAACAAGCAGTCACATCCAAGCCACATTCCACGCTATCAGATCTCGCAATGCTGGGACGCAACTGGCACAAAACAACGCGATTCTATCTTTTAAGCACGACTTATGAGCCATCGCCAAACAGTTTATTTCCAAGATGAGAATTTTCTAAATTCAGTGTCACACAGAGGAATTCTTAGTATTGTTTTCGATTGTACCTGAACACTTACATCTGCAGAATTAAATGAAGCGACATGAAAATAACCAATATGCAGCGTTTTCGAGTATTTCCGTAGATAGGGAGCGTGTCACTAGAAAACAGCCTGATAGGCAAAAACTGATATCATACTCGAATTCGGTAAACGTCTTAGTTAAGAACACTATTCAGATACTTAGTTACAAAAATGCTGTTGACCTGTGTTATCAGCGGAAATATTACCTTGGCGAATTTGTTTGGGCAATAAAATTGTTAAACTGAATTCGTTACAAGAAGCAGATAATTTAATTTGCGTACAGGATTTTAGATTAATGACGTGTCTCTTCGATGTATGTTCTGTCATAATCAATTTTTGACTAATCCAGTAAGTTTCTACTGCCGGACGTTCTTTTTCTAAATTGAAAACGTGTACAAAAAATTAACGGATTCCATGGGCCAAGAACAATTAAGTGATTTAGTTATTCTGTCAATTGAACGCATGACGCAAAATTTGAGAAATAATTTGATATTGTTAAACCATCGGCGAATGTAAATCTTGTCGTATCAAGATTCAAAACAAGGACTTCTGAAATCAACAAACCATCTTTGTATTTAAATTTATTTAAAGGAGGGCAATTTTTTGTCTTTTTTTAAACGGAAAACCTCTTTAACGCGATTGCCCCACCGAAAATCAAAGCCAGATGGAAAAAGAAGAATAACACTGTACGGTTCTGATAACGAAAGCACACAAACGAACCAATCTCTAAAAATATCGCCAGTCATTTATTCGTGATAATCAGAAGGTTCTTCCACAAATCCTGCCTCTATGTGGGCCACAATTAAACGCCTGTCCTTTCTTGAAGGATTTTAACCCTGTTGAGAGACCAGCTAAGAATGCTGGTTTTTTCACTGTCACTATTTCACTGTCGAGCCAACCCACACCTAGACCGTAGTAGGCCCTTTTGTCACCCATGTTTCGTCCAAGTAATAAGTTTTTTTTTTATTCTGTTCCCGATAGAGCCGAATGTTTCTTAGGTAGTTACGCTTCCATAATACTAAACCGTCTCTGACAATAATGAGATTCTTTTTCCTTCTCTTTTGCAATACAAATCCTGAGGGTACAATTAAATTGTACGAACTGGTCTCTTAGCACTTTGCAATTCAGGATCGCTGTTCACTGCCTGCAGTACTTTGACTAATGTGGGTATAAAAAAAGAAGGAATGCACTTTAGAACACACAGCACTCACAACAAATTCATAGTATGATTCAGGCGCCGGTTTCTTCCGCTTTGTTTTCTTTGGAGTTTGAATATTTCCTGCCTCGACGTCTTTTATTAATTTAAATATACTAGAAACTGAAAATCCCGTAAATTGTGCAGTCAGGGCAGCGATTTGTATAATAGGAAAGTTTGGATTTTTATGCATAAAAAGTTCAATAGCACATACTTTTCACCACTCCGCATAATTTTACCACAGTGGTGTTTCACTGCGGAAGGACCTGCACCGCTCTTCGACATCTTCAGCGTCGAACTGCTTGACAAAAACCTCTAAACCACTTCGTTTCGCATGAGCATACCGCCTCCCACCGTACGTGGCCCAACCTGCGTCTGTCATCAATTCTTAAGAAATCAACAGCTCCAGTTACTACGGCACGTGCGAGGGGTTCAGTTCGCCTCTTGACTCCAATGCTTTTTTTAAAACTTTGTTGGTTTCCCTCTTGGATGCACGCCGTATTATCAGGGAAGTCTATAGGTAATTTATCTATTTGCTCGTCGGTACGTCCGTAAAAAAAACCCATTTAAATCAATAGTTCGTACCGGACATCTCTTCCCTGCGGAAGAATGCGGGGGAGGTTTAGTGTCCATGGAGATGGATATAAGAGTCATCCCTGTGGTCCCCACCCACCACGGAGCCCAACAAGGGGACACTGCATCGGAGGGCCAGGGTTGCCACGGAGATATAGCCGGGGGATGACAGCGCTGCCCCGCCGTGGATGCTCCCGCAGACCCTGGAGTTCTGAACGAGACCTCGTCCGAGTGGGCGGCCGTTGCCGTATACTGCGCGGACTACCACGTGCTCTCAACACTGGGCACAAAGAAAAGTCTTGAAAAATTCGTAACAAATGAAAGATAATAAATACGAAACTTACATTTACTACTATCATTCTGTGATATGATGAAGTAAACTTCGTTATTTGAGAAAACTTCATCGTGCGCACTGTCAACAAAAATGCAGTGTTCTCTTCATAAATGTAACACTGCACTAGTTTAAAACAGTGCTTTCTGCGCTATCACTGTCTTCCAGATTACTGCTTTCAGCATTGGTTGATTCACCAATGGCGAACACCAGTTTGTCCGCATTTGCTTCAATGCTACATTCATTGCGGCAGGCTTCCATTATCAAATTTTTAGGGCGCGCCACAACCTTTTGCCACTTCTCGCGGGTGGCGTCTTCCACAGCCTCCGCGAAAAGGTTTCCCGCTTTAGTGAGAGAAAACGTTTTATTACTTGCTGCCACATAACCCTTTATTTGCATCCTCCCTTTGCATCCTTTAATGCTATTGCATCATCAATGCAATAGCATTAAAGGCGGCAATGATAGGGCTGCGAAGGAATGACTGCGGCCGTGTGCTTTATCCTCTTCGTCGATGAGGAATTTTAGAAATTGATGTTTACTGCTTTCTCGCAATATCTTCCAGTAAGTCTACCTTACTATTCCAAGGTTCTGATACCACGTTATGGCGAATTGTCCATTTAAATAATGGACGGCTTGTTCAAATTGGAGAGCAATTGCTCTTCAAACCACTCCCGGAAACACTCACTGTCCATCTCCTCGTGGTAATTTGTTGTTTTCCGGGATCGGATCGCTAAAAGGCAGTTTTCAATGACCCCATAGCAGTGCCAACATGAACAATAATTAGTGTTATTACCTGTCGCCCTTTCCAGGCGGTGCAATGGAAGTGCCAGCCACAGAATAATCAGTCCACGCAGAATTACAGGTGTCCAGCATTCACCCAAGTTTCGTTCAGCACTCAAAATTTCTGAGCAAACACGAGGGCCACGCAACAATATCGTTTCCTTGCATTAACACTTCGTGTTTGTTAATTTTTTTATATCGGAATCCCAGTTCGTGAATAATTGTACTCAGAGAAGCCACACTTCCCCTGAATAATTGTGCATCTCGTAGTAATATCACAGGTTTTTGAGGTCGGCTGTTCGTTCCATGCATAATGACTATAAATAAGCCTACGCACAGCACCTTTTTGAAAATTGTCGAGATTCGTGCCACGCCTTTCAATGTTCCTTTTCTAGCCCGGCTTCTCCAGGTGAGAAGGACCAGCTTCTTCCGTATCTCGCTTCTCTTTCTCAATCTTCATCGTTGCTTTTACGTGTCATTCAGGGCATCAGCTGTTCGCTGTACTTCTTTTGAAAGAGGTAACAAGGGAGTGGTCCCTTCCAAAGTAATCACGAACATTTTTACAGAATTTTCGCGGGATAGTCCTTTGAGAGAGACGCCTCGATCGGATTTCCTCGTTTCCTTAACAGGATGAATCCTTGGGCAGCCTCGGCTGCGCTTACCACTTTTTTGTGACTTTTTAGAAGACACAGCAGTGACGAAACGATACCAACAGGCAATAACAACGATAACAAAAACGCAATAGTAAACAACGATAACAAAGGTTTAAAACAATTATAATAACATCGCTACTCAGAAATTCCGCTCACGCTACGCACATTAAAACACAATAACCTCACACTCGACACTACACTTCTCTCAACTCAATCACTAAGTTCGAGGCACGCGATTCACTTGTTCCCTAATTTTGGGTGACACGTGTACAAATGCCGAAGCTTCTGATTCGTGGTCCTTAGGTTACGGCGCTGGCGTCATCCAGTGACCATGAACTGTCAACTACAGGACTTTGGAAGTAAGCATGAACATATTGGCGCTGATAAATTATCACTTATACAAGCAGTTTGATTCAGATTACCGTAAACCTACCGTGGAGTGCCGCCAATACTTGATGAGTTCAATGATATCAGTGCTGGGAGCATACAGCAAGTAGTCTCGCCACTCATCAAAACTAATGTTGAGACTTCCATCCTGATCCATTCTGAAATTACGGAAAACTTTAATTCCAGCAAGTGAAACTTACCAAAAATACGACTTACTATGAGGCATTTTTTTTTTTGAAAATTTAGCAATTTGATAATATTTAACCCTTAGTTACCCGTGCTGGCGTACTTTGTATGCCACTGAAACTGTTATCGCCGTAAGTGTCAGAGAACATGAGCGCGCGTTCTGACATTTGAACTAACCTCGCAGAAGGCATTCATTCAGCTGCATCTTCCTCGATACTTACTTGCGTAAGATTTACTGTAGTGGCTAGACGACTATACTTCCGTTGTGAAGTGTTCGTTGGCGTACTTTCTACGCCGCGCAAGAATCAATGTGAGTTGTCATTTTCTTTTAATTAAGAGTATATTTTTGTTTATTAATATAATTAAACTAATTTATTTTGTTATACATTAGGAACAATAGAGATGAGTAGTTTACCGGAAAAGCAGTTATGTGAATTATTTTTATGAGGAATAGTCGAAGACGAATTTTGCGTTGGTGCAAGTGATTCGAGGAAGAAGTTACCACGGCCGAGAATGAACATGACATGAATTCTGAGCTTGATTACATTATTGATTATTCAAGCAGCGATTTAGTGTAGATATGTTTTCATTGGCAAAGATATAAGGTTCCAAAGTGGAATAAAACACCGCTTGTCAGAAAATTTACAAAATGTGGAAGTCGTGATGATCAAGAATAAACAACAAAAAACACGCACTACTACTATTAGTACCTCACTTACTACTAACAGGAGCAAAAAATTAGCATGCAACGAACACATTCTTAAAGTCATCAAATGCAAAAATTATTCTGAAGAGTAATATGCTACATTTATTACAATTATTATTTAATTAAAATTGTAATATGCATACATATCAAATACAACTAAATAAAAATTGCATTTAAATTTGTTTAGGCATAGCATAGTTCATTTTTGCAAGAAAATTGGCTTGGAGTACGAAGTACGTCGCGCGGGTACTTGTGACAACAGCGCGAGTAACTAAGGGTTAATATGAACAGAAATGGTATTTATGCCTTTGGTGAACAAATGTCATATTAAATTAATCCATTTACAAAAGGGAATGTATACATAAGCAATGTTGTAAATTGGCATAAGAAGGGCAACACAAAAACTATTGAAATAAAAATGAACATACCTTAAAAGAAGATTTGTGGCCTCCTTTCTGTCAATATCTACACCTAAGTCCTTAAAAGCCTTAATAAGTTCATCCACGTCGATTTTTCCTGCGAAAAAACATGAAATATAATTGAACTGGAGTTTTCTATTAGAAAATACTAGTAATGTTCAGTTACAATTGGCATGTATGTTATCTTTTCTCTTTTCGTATGTTAAAATTATTTTACATATATACCATAGCAACAAACACTTCACAAAATGATACCGTGTACAACTACTCGTATTTTAAGTAAACAAGGATGTACATCTGGCCGAGGTAATTGTCACCACATCCTTCCCATGTCGTAGGCCAAAAATGAAAAATAGGTCTGAGTCTGGCTGGACGCGCAAGTGCAGGAGACGAAAAACTTGCAAGTTTGGTCTGTGTGAAAAGAGGATCTCAGGGAGTAAGTTACGTTAAAAGAACACATTTAACACACATCAAATGTACCTCTAGAACCGTGGAACAGGTGGTGAGGCGTTGGCAGCGGTCTCCAGTCGATTAGAAAGCGACATCACCTTTGTCAATAAAGTTTGGCAGATGTGTTTCAACGCCTTGGCAGTCATTAGGCGTCCGCGTTGTAGTGAAAATAGGGGAGATACTTATTTCGAAAACTACCTATCAAGATAAATAAAACAAGTGAAACAAGAGAACAAGTAAAAAAGGAGTAATGTCAGTACAGTAAGAAGTACTAACACTTGTAAATACGAGTTAATGGGCATTATCAATGGCACAGGTTAAGAAACAGGGTTACGAAAAACAAATTTGCAGGACTTTCAAAAGAACAAACATTGCTGTGTACGACTTCGAGTGAGAAAAACTCACGTATTGTCTACGTACCACACGCGTTTCACGAAGCGATAAGACCCGTTACAAAATTACCACTTCTTTCCAGAAAAAAACACAACTTTTCACGTTTTCAGCTTTTTTACTGGACTTAAAAAATATTTGAACTTGATTAAAAACACGATATTAAAAAACACATGATTCGGGGACTAATTTGTTTTCAACTCATTAATTACTCCACTTCACTACAACGTGTAATGGTTATTTGATATCAACGAACACGGAAGTTTATAGAAATTACTGAAATTAATTCAATATTGCCCAAAGAATACAAATATCTTTCAGAGTATCAAAAATGGCTCAGACATTTCAGTGCGAATATACCCGAAAATCCTTTCCAATTCTACGTGAGACGAAATCTCCGAGATTGTCTTTCCTCCTCAAATTCAAAAGTAATGGTAATACTATGCCTTATCACAGCATTTTCTATTCAAAATCATTAAAATTAACTTTATTGCTCAAAATTATTTTACATTAATCGTAAGCAATAAAGAAACCATTGATCATATCGCCTCAGCTTGTCCAATTCGAGTAAAGACCGTACACTTGAAAAGACACGATAGGGTGTGTAGTTACCTCCACTGGCAGATCTGTACTGCCCTCAAAGTTTCAAACACATGATCCAAGTGGTACTAACACTCACCAAAACATCATATCTGTTGGATTGTACGACCAACAAAGTCAAACTGATCGCATGATAGCAGCAAACAAACCTGATATTGTCAGGGGCGGATTCAGAGCCAAATTTTGGGAGGGGAAACTCAAAATGTTTTGGTCGAATGTGTTATATTACCGATTTTGTAAAATGTCGCAGGCTACACTCAGGTCATGCTGTGATTCGATTTTGTTTTAATGATTATCCGAAAATATTTTTTACTTGAAAGTTTCGTGACAATTTAAAATTAATAGTTACTGAAAAATTTTAGGGGGGGGGGGATTTCTCTCATTTCCATCCTTGTGGATCTGCGCTTGATATTGTTATCCGGAATTCGGAGAAAAAATGTCTATTTGTAGATATTGTTGTGCCGTGCAATCAACAGGCCGTAACCAAAGAAGCAGTGAAACGCCTTAAATACAATTGGAAATCGAGATCAGCCGAATGAGGGGAGTAAAAGTACTGATTGTTCCCATAGTTATCAGAGCTCTGGGATTCGTTCCGCAAAATGTGTGTAAGAACTTTGCTAAACCCACAGGCTATTCAAAGGTTTGGGAACTGCAAGACATTGCTATATTGGGCCCACATTTTGCGCAAAGTTTGTAGAGGTACCGGTAGCCCCTAGATCTGCTGCTTAGGAAGCTGGTTGCATCCCGGAAGAGATTTTATATTCAACCGCCTCTTATCTTAAGACGTGAATTGAAGGAATAATAACTAATTATTATTGTAACCAAAATGCGAGTGTATAAATAAATTAAATGTGATATAATAATAATTCGAGTAAAGACCATGTTTTCTCCTAAACTGTTAAAAAAATAGCAACTTTCAACCGTTTCGCAAAAACACTGGATGGGAACACACGTAATTAAATTAACACCTCGGAGTTAACAACAGCACACTCTCTCGTAATATTGATAACGATTACGAAATATTATTGTAAAATGTTGCAATTTCTATCTCCCTGTGACGTTCAGAAAGCGCGAATTTTTTTGAAAATTCTTAAGTTCAAATGAATTGTTTTCAGCCACTAAATTCACTGTATTCACGATTATGAAATGATGATTAACGTCTGATGCGCATTTTAGCTTTATATAAAATTAATAGTTTATAATCACACGAAGCGGTGGCGGCTTCTAGCTGTAGCAACACTGTCAGCGCGCCATTGCCAAATTGTGAGGGCGCTCGAATCGTTTCACAACACCGATATATTTAAAGGGTTGACAACTAAATGTAAATGGCTCTAAAAATATAATTAAATATAATATAGAAACATTCCTCCAACCTACTCATTTGAACTTGTAACACATATTATTCTCCTAGTCTAAGCAGGAAATACTTTAACAAATGCTGCATTACCTTTACCACTTAAAATAATTTATAAAATTGCAAAAACTACTCATATTTCGAATTATATTAAAATTATTTCAATATCTAATATAAACAAATGAACTGTGTAAAGAAAGAATTCTAGTTCCTATGTAACAATTATACAAGTTAAAATAACATGTAAACGTTCCATTGTATAATTCAAATTTCACAAAAACTACACACGAAGTATTTTGAAAATTATGAATCTGAAATAATTTGAAGATATATTCAGGAAGACAGTTCATTATACTCTAAGAAATATAAACAGTCAATGTTAATGGTGTAAAAGGAACTTGAAAAAAGGAATTTTTGCAATTTTCATAATTCAGAAACTAATAAATTTGACTTGAAATCTAAGCCGGAATCGATAGGGACAAAAAAATTCCGGTTTAGGGAGGTTTCCGTTTTATGCAATGTCCATTTTTTGCCACTTATGATATCAACGTTTCTACGCCGAAAGTAGTAAATTACACGACTTTATACTTATCAAAATACATTAACATAACGGATTTATGGAAGAAATCACGCATAAATGAATACGTATTACTCATTAACAGCTTCTGAGTTAAAAAATACACACCTTACTGGCTGTATTCGGGCAGCTTGCAGACTCTTTCAACGCACAATGCGTCACAACCCACTACTATGACTTTCTGATATCCTCGCATGGCCTTGAGCAATGCGTATCTGGGTCGAGGGGTTATGTTTTTCAAATCGCGAGGCAGTGAGACGCGTGTATAGAAGCCATGCCTGTACACCTTCCTACGCCCCGAGAGTCGGGAGAGAGGGAATGTCCTTACGGCCTAAGCCTTGAGAGACAAGCGACCCCCAGGGCGATTTGTACGCTGACAGCTGAAGCCCTTCTCCTTCATGTCCGACTACCACGGCTAAATCACATGTCACAGGGATAGTGAATTTAAAACAAAATTACATATGCTTTTATTTCATTAAGAAAATCTCGGGTCTGCCAATTGCATTCAATTCAGAGGAATTCCGTTTTATAACGATTTTTTAAATAAATAGAGCGCAAAATTTTGAAGTTTAATTTTCATCCTGAAGTGACTCCAAAGTACGACTAAGGGTCTTTCGAATGTAGTATTATTTGGTATCTAAGGTCACTATAAATAAATAGCTATGTTTAAATACCAAGGATAAACTCTACTGAAATTTCTGGAAAGTGCCGCAGTAAGCCTATACGTTTTGACAACTAATATGATTTAGTTGAATCAAAAGAATTTCAATACAATAAACTGACATTATTTAAGTTATACTCACGTGCAACATGGCGGTTTCCGCTCCAAGAAAAAAAAAAACGTATTTAGTGGTAAAGATATGACTTATAATACTCAAGTTACATTTTTATGAAAATTTATGGAGATTATTATTTATCCCTATAGGACCTTTTAAAAGCGAAGTTGGCAATAAATTACGCGACCAATAAAGAACGTTTAGGTATGAATCTCAAGCGGTGTGTTTATTTGTGAGGAAAATTTGGACGTAGGTGATGAAGTGATTTCGGCAAAGAAGAGTCGATTCATCATTCATATACAAGGACGCGACTGAACATAACACTTCGCTAATGAGTATTAGGTCGCAGGAGAAGCGTGGTACCACCTTCATTCCGTCAAAGAAATCGTACAGGCCGAGAGGTAGTGAGGCAAAAGGATGTCGCGCAGGTACTAATGTTGATGAGGCGTTGCAATTCAATATACTCATACTTTTCTATTCAGTAAAGTTTAATGAATGCTACTTTTTTCTCGATTGGACGGGTCACATGCATGGAAAGTACCGACCCGATAGCCGAACAGTAAAATCAACGCCTCTTACGTACACGAGTATGGAGAAGACGCAGTGATGACAGACAGTAAACATCAGTGGTATGTTTCTGAAATGCTGGGTACAAAATGTTTAATGGTAACTGGTATCAAATCAAAATACATAAAGCCGTAGATGAACGTCTCGGAATTATTAAAACAGCTGCTGACAATTGTAGAAGTCCGTTCACAGATGTATCAATAAATGAATACCTACGAGCAGACATTTCTTACAAAATGTTGAATACCAGATAAATTAATGTTGTTTGAGTCTGTGATTTTAAAGCTCAAGAATGGGGAAATTGACTCGTGGAAGAAAAAATGGATATCGGCAAAAAGATCTAAGTCATTCTTCCCTTTTGACAGGGGCACATATGTATACAA